TTTTTTTTATTAATTGGAAAGCTTGAAAATTATATTGCAGAAAACACTGGGACGAGGCCGGGGACCTCACAATTCTACCCGCAGGTTATCCTGGCAGCCTCAGCCAGTATCGCTTACGAGCATAGCTCAAAGATTATCCAGCTACTCATAATGAATCAATACCAAACTGCTGAGCCACTTTTATTTTCCTTCGTCTTCCTCAGCCACTTAGTTGTACTGGTGTACACGACAACCGAGAGTGTGTTTGTGTTTGTGGTTATGAACGTGCATTTTTGTTTCGGTTTTTTTTTTTTTTTTTTTCTGTTTTTCTGGCGGAGAATTTTTCTCTGTTTTTTCTTCCGTGCATTTTTCTTTCTTTTTTATTTTTTGTTTTTTTTTTCTCCTTTTTTTTTCTGCACGGGCGGGTTTCTGTTTCCATCTCTCTTAACTTGTCGGTTGGACTTTTCTCTTATCGGAAATTCGCTGACTCGGATTGAGATTGCAGACAGTAGACAAGGGCAAAATAGAAAAAAAGCACTGTCTACAATACGAACAAGCCGGATTGGACGCCTTGCGACCCGGGGGCCCTGAGTCTGCAGCACTTGGGCCGTGGTCCCATTAGCAAAGAGCATCGGATTGAATGCCTGAATCTGGATGTGTTTGAGGACAGGAGCAGGAAATAGAGATCGAACTGCTTTTCTGTATCTCTGCATAAAACATAGCCAGATTCAGGATTTCTATCCTGTCCCCTTTGCTAGTGGGACCACGGCTTTGGACTTCGTATGTTTGCCTTCGGCACTGGGCCGGGCCCTAATAAATAAACTACTCTTTTTCTCCGAAAAAAGCCAGAGGCAGACTCTCCCTTTTTTTTTTTTTTTTTTTTGATGAATTGTGCTCCAATCTGATCCTGGGAAGCAGCACGACCTGGGGCCAAGTCCCGCTAGCAGCGTTGAGCTACCTCAACGCCTGCATCTGGACGCTTTGGCGGAGATGTGCAGAAATGGTGTTGAGTTTCATGAACTGCACGTCTCGACAAACACGTCCAGATTCAGGCGTTGAGGTAGCTCAACGCTGGGAGTGAGACTTGGCCCCTGGGAATCTGGCCCAGCGCCAGACTGGTTAGCAGAGTGTAGTATTTCAGCATTTTCTCGATTTATGCGTGTCATCGTTGCGCATGGGCCTCTGTATCGCTTCTATTTTTATTTTTTTATTTTTTTTTATCGCTTCTATTTTAACGGACGTCACGCCGAAGGACAATTTTCTCGATTTTTGGCCAAGTAAGATCAAGTGAGAAAAAAAAAAGGAAAAAAAAAAAAAAAGATCAAGTGTAGTATCTGTTCTGATCAGCTTGATATCAGTTACGTGGTCCATTCAGCCACATACCGCTCTGCTAATTCGTTCACAAAAGGACGCGGGGGGGGGGCGCGGGGGGGGGGGGGGGGGGGGGGGGGGGGGGGGCCGGGGGGAAGAAGAAGAGAGGCAGAATGATGAGCAGAGTGGTACATTGCTAATTCGTTCACGGCTGTGCCCTTTTTTTCTTTTCCTTTTTTTTTTGGTTTTCTCGCAAGTTCAATTACAAATGGCCCTTTGACTTTTAGTCTCTGGAGTTTTGGGACTTTGAAACTCGGCAGTGCCAGCAGTGGGACTTTGCCCGTGACCGAGGTCGCATTTGCCGAAATTCTACGATGTGGGCCGTAGATTTCAAGGATCAACGATCGGAAATATGGAATCAAGATAAGTAGTACCTTTGCTCTGGGATACCGACGTGCACTCCCTTGCGGGAGGAACGATCTCTGACAGACCGCTCGTATAAACGGGCTAAAAAAAAAAAAAAAAAAAAAAAAAAAAAAAAGAGAAATGGCGAAAAAAAAAAAAAAAAAAAAAAAAAAAAAAAACACGCACACGAAACGTCCGATGTCATATTGTGCGGCGAATCGCGCGTGGTTTGGGGATACGCGGGAGGATTTTTTTTTTGTTGGGTGTTTTTTTGTGGTGCTTGCAATACGCACGATAATATATAATTAAAAATAAAAAGAAGAAAAATACGCGCGATTGGTACCATGGCATCTGCGTGACTGTCTAGCAGCGCAAGCTCTTCAATGATTCGGATCTACGTTCTGGATTACTTTTGGGTAGGTGGGTGGGTGGGTGGGTGGGTGGGTGGGTTGAGGGGGAGGGAGAGATTAATATTCCGGCCTCTCCCTTTTAATCTCGTTCTGACAATATATTTATCCGGCTGGATAAAAAAGAAAAGCGAAAGGGAGGATGGAATCGAAGAAAACTCTTTTTAAAAAAAAAAAAAAAAAAAAAAAAAAAAAAAAAAAAATCGAAAAAAAAAGTCAAAAGACCTCTTTCACTCACTTTAGTTGTCTCGATGATTCGTATTTATCTCTGCAGAGATTAAAAAAAAAATTAGTCAAAAGACCTCTTTCGCCGCACCACTCACCAACTGTGTAAAAGACAAAAAAAAAGAAAATTATGTCCGTGTGTCTTTCCACATTTCCCTGTTAAATGCATCCTATGTTAACAGATTGGGCGAGTACTAAGTAGTACGGCGAGGCCCTTTGCCTTGTGTGAGTGAAACGACTCCTGCTTCACCAGAATGCCACCTCGTTCTAACTGTGTACAACCGTCTTCACTCGAATACAACGTATGCTCGTTATAGTTTTATTTGGGCCAACGTTGAGTCTGGATACAGCAATATTACTGCAATAATGGTCGAAAGTTGTATCAGGGTGAAGCCGGTAGGGTACCCACGGAGCTGGATTGCTTGTTCCCTATTTCAATCGTGTTCTCGTGATGTACTTCAATAACCTTCTCTATTACAAAATTTGTCTGTTGTGTTTATCACCGCACTGATGTGAACCTCTCTCTCAAAACTGCAAAAAGAAAATAGAAAAGATACAAAGGAAAAGACCGAGTGAAACTCACCAGAGAGCCAAAGACAGAGAGAGAGAAAGAAGATCGAGAGAGAAAGAAAGATCGAGAGAGAAAGAAAGATCGAGAGAGAGAGAGAGAGAGAGAGAGAGAGAGAGAGAGAGAGAGAGAGAGAGAGAGAGAGAGAGAATAGGATGAATACTTTATTGCTGACCGGATAAAATGTGTGTGTGTGTGTGACTCTGTCTGTGTGTCGTCTGTGTGTGAGGGGGGGGAAGGGTGGGCTGGTTGTCTGCGGGCGCCGGGGCGCACCTTTGTATCGTGTTTGTCTGTGTCACTGTGTGTACTTGCTTTGGGCGTGGACTCGTGGAGGCTTGTTCCGGGGGGACCTTGTTTGTTGTTTTGTGTGACGGGGATTAGAAAAACATATAATATATTTATCATAATTTATTATACATTTATTAAAAAATTATTATAAATTTATTATAAATTTATTTTACCCTTCTTCGGGGCTGCAGTTGGAATGCCTGAGAGCGGTGTTCGAGTCATCGGGTCCGAGATCGAAGGAGATCCTTCTGGACCGTTTAGCGACGGTGGTTAATCGGTGGAACCCGCTGAGCAAAGTGAGAAGAATGGGTCTCGCCGATCTGGATTACATTCCCAAGAGGCCCAGGCTTACTGAGGTCCCAATGGGACCGACTCCCATGGACGTGGCCAATCTTCGTCTTCTTCAGCAGCATGGAGCGGCCGCACTCCCTCACTTTCTCTCTCCTCCGTCTCATCTGGCCAGGGTTGGGACGGACATCGGTATCAATTGCAATCACCCTCTGGGAGGTGGTGGTCCCGGTGGAGGTGGTTCTCCACACAATGCGGCGGGCAGCATGCTCATACAGCATCTCGGTCTCTCGCCCTCCCTTGGGAGGATGCACTGCCTGGGGCCAGGCAACGGTGGTCCCGCCTCTTCGCTGGACGAGAGCGCTTTATCCATAGCGGGAGCGGGATCTGCAGGGCTGTCGATGTGCGGTCTGGATCGGACGATGGGGATGGCATCTGACACGTCACAGTGTTTCGTAGGGGGGGTGTCGCTGAACCTGCCCCGAGCGGCCCACCGAGCGTCGGAGGCTTGCCAGGGCGGCGCGGCATGCACGACTAGCCAGCCCAACGGGCAGCTGCAAATGACGACAAAATGCTGTGTAGGGGGGGGTTGCACACCCTCTCTGGGGCAGAGTAATAGCACGGAGGCGGCGGTGAGAAGAGAGCAGAGGGGGGACTTAGAAGGGGGAGGCGCCCAACACCCCCACGCTCAGGGTCAAGTGGGACTTTCGCTGACCCACCACGGGCCCACGGGGGTAGGTCTGGAACTTGGAGGTCGGGGAGCTGGAGGGTGTTGCGATGATGGATCGGGATCAGGAGGGAGTGAGCGAGGAAGAGGTCCAGAAGGGGTAAGAGGGGGAGGAGGAGGTGGTGGCACTCCCAGCGGAGGAAGCAGAGGAGGAGGAGGAGGAGGAGGAGGAGGGCGTGGTGGACAGGATGTTGACGAAGGAAGTGCAGAGGCAGCGGTCGCTTCTTACACAGCGGAACTGCTCCGGGGCCTCGGTGGCGCATCCAACGGCTGCAGTGTCAAGGTGGAGAGCGGCAACGGTAGCGGAGGAATTACCTCTTGTCTTCCCTCTCATTGGGTTCCCGCCATTCTTCAAAACGCATACGAGGTAAGCATCCCCACAACCAACCCTTGCATGCATGGATGCAACTAGATCGATGTCCGCGGTTGCATGTACGTGCATGCATGCACCTGTAGGGATGTACGTGCATGCATGCACCTGCATGCATGTACGTGCATGCATGCACCTGCATGCATGTGCAATACAGCTAATGCACCCTACAATCTTCTCAATGCCCCTGTTTGTATGTATGTGCATGCATGCACCTGCATGCATGTGCAATGTGGCTAATGCACCCTACAATCTTCTCAATGCCCCTGTTTGTATGTATGTGCGTGCATGCACCTGCATGCGTGTTTTCGCACTTTCCAAAAAAGATGAAAACTCGTTTGTTTTTTTTCCTTCTGAAAAGACAAGTAAATTCGGCTAATGTAGCCTGCATTTCGGTCAGTCTAGATCCGTCATCCACGTCTATCCGGCCTACCGTCTTCACCCGATTACAACGCCCGGTCATTATGGCTGTATCTAGACTGAAATTTGGACGAATTACAGCTATAATGACCGAGCGTTCTATTCGGGTGACAACGGTAGTTGGTACGATCATTCGTGATTCCATGGTTCGTCACTCGTATAACGTGTGCATGTTGTATACCATACGACGGAAGGACGTACATGCAACGTAAAATTGGTACCGGATATCCGTCTAGCAATGACGAACATACTCCATGCCTAGTATAGTGCGCTATTTTTGGATTCGTCGACTAATCGTCGCAACCCCGTCGTCCTTCCTCGTTTGCATCTACGGATAAGGTGACGATCTAACTGAATGTGTGTCCACGATACGTCGCACTAGCTGTGCATGCGACCTGGACGTAGCAACGCAGCCATGGAGTTGCATGCGACGGTACGTCGCACTAGCTGTGCATGCGACCTGGACGTAGCAATGCAGCCATGGAGTTGCATACGACGGTACGTACTGCGTCGCATTAGCTGTGCATGTGACCTACACGTAGCAATGCAGCCATGGAGTTGTATGCGACGGTACGTACCGCGTCGCATTAGCTGTGCATGTGACCTGGACGTAGCAAGGCAAAGCTAATAAATATCGCACGTCGTTCACGTCCTGATTCACGACCCTGGAGCTTAATCCAATCCTCTTTTTGCTAGTGGGGCCTGGCCCTAATGACTAACGGCGTAGTGGTTGCATGCACAAACTAGGACGGCAGTTGGAAGCACAGAATGCCTGAATGAATAGCACCTGGCACTGGGACTGGGACTGGAACTGGAGCTCAGACTGAAACTGGAACTGAGAATGGAGCTGAAACTGGAACTGGGACTGGAACTGGAACTGGGACTGGAACTGGAACTGGGACTGGGACTGGAACGGACGTTCGGCATTTTGCAAGAGCACCTACATATAGAGCTGAAAAGAGAACTGGAGAAAAACAATAAAAGAAAAAAGGAAACTGGAATTGGGGGAAACAACCAGCACTGTGGAACTGGAACTGGAACTGGAACTGGAAGGAGAATCAGGAACAGGAATCATTGCAAGAATTCGTTTCCTGATTGTGCTCCTGTAACCGATCGCCATGACTCGTGTGATCGTACTCGCCGCTGAAACCGTTGACCAAAAAAAAAAAAAAAAAAAAAAAAAAAAAAAAAAAAAATCTGGGGTACGATATCTCAACCCCCTGGGGCGCAGTGCACATAGAAAAGAGGACTGGATTGACTGCCTGAATCTGGATATGTTTTACCCAGAGATGCAGAAAAGCAGATCAATCGCCAACGTCTGCATGCATCTGGGAACAAACGCGTCCAGGTTCAGGCGATCAATTCAATCCACTTTGGCACTGGGACTGTGCCCCTTATCTTGATTAAACCCAATCAAGCAAACAAACCAACAAACACAAAAAATGGCGGAAAAAAAAAAACAAACAGAAAGTTGGCTAACTCCGATTGAATTTACTAATTATGCAGTCCAGATACATGTTCGAAGGTTCTGCAGTGGAGCTAGTTCCATAGCTGTTTTTTTCTTTTTTTCTTTTTCCTTTTTTCCTCCCCTTTTTAAGATCCCTTGTAACCCTTGTTTAGTCATTCTCGTCTGGTGTAGTGTCCCACTCACCCGCATTCTGCGCTTCTGGCCGTTGATCTTCGTCAAGTGCAGCTTTTGGGCGTTCATCTTCGTTATGTGCGGCCAGAAAGAAAGAATCAAATAGAATGATACTGTAAATAAAATAAAAAATTATAAAAGGAACAAGTCCGGCCTTTTTGAAACTCACACCATGACACCGGCGCCATTTTGAAAGGCCGAAAAAAAACATGTGCGGGCAACAGAATCTGAGCTAGAAAAGTGCGGGATATATCTGTAAAAATGTCTTTAAATTAAAGAAAAAAAAAAAGAAAAAAAGAAAAAGACAGTCTGTGGCCAGCGTGTGATTTTGTTGCCCTTTTCAAACTCCGCGCGCAAGTTTGTTGCGCGCCAAACTTGCACTTTCCAAACTTGGCGTGCAGGTAAAAGTGCCTTTGTGACTCTTGTGAACTCTCCACGCGAGTTTTTTGCCCGCGTGTGATTTTGTTGCCCTTTTTCAAACTCGTTTGCGCCGCAACACAACCGAACTTCCCCCACTAGAAAGTTAAAAAAAAAGAAGGGGATCGCGAAAAAAAAAAAAAAAAAAAAGATGGGGCAAGTACTTCGGAGTCACACCCAAGGTTCAGAATGGGGCAAATTGAAGTGGTTCCGCAAATTATGGTGCAAAAATGGAGACCGCCCTAAATCTACCAAGGGCCACTGCGGGTACTGACTGCCGCAGTTTAAGACCCCCTCTGCTAAACTTGCACATTTCGAAACTCACACCATGACACCGGCGCCACTTTGGGCCAAGTCCCAGTTGCCCGAATGATCAATTTATGACCGCGGATTCGGGAAGATCAACGACCAGAAATCAAGGATCACCGTAAGTGGGACTTGGCCCTCCGTCTTTTCTTCCGTTAGTTCCTTATTTCAAACTAAAAGTGTGGCGCGGCCACGGGGTCCCCCCCAAAAAAGAATAAGTCCCGGGGCCATGTCACCGAATTTGGAATGATACCATCTGGAATAGCTCAGTTGGTAAGCCCTTTTTTTTTTCTTTTTTTTCTTTTTTTTTTTTTTTTTTTTTTTTTTTTTTTTTTTTTTTTTTTTTTTTTTTTTTTTTT